AGCCCAAGCAAAGGGCAGCCAGCACCAGCTTCTCCTGACATTCCTCAATCCAGTCAGGGCTGCCATCTCACAGGTACTGTGGATTTGGGAATGCCTCAATGCGACTTTCCCTTGCCCCCACCCACACTCGGAAAGTTTATAAAATAGGGTTTGGGTGTTTTTTTTTTTTTCCTTTTTGTTTTTCCTTTTTTTTTTTTTTCCTCAAAGACAGTGGTGCACTTTACAACAGCAGAACAGTCTCCCTGCGAGGTAGAGAGTTAATTTCAGAGCTGACAGATCCTAAGTTCAAACCAGTTTGTCCTAGTTGAGGTAAAATTCAGTAGTTTATAATAAGTTTTGCAACTGCCAGAAGGCCATCAAGATTCCTCATTGCCAGAGTCATCCTCATCACCATAGCAACTGTCAGCTTCCTCCTCCATCTCATCATCTTCATAATAGTCATCGTAGAAGAGGTCTGAGCCTTCATCCGGGGCTGGAGTCTTGGTCTTCACGCAGTACTCTGCCAGCGTGGTGGGGACCTTCACGCCGTCCCGCTCGGCGTCCACCTTTGTTCCCAGGACTTGCTTCCTGCAGGGAGGAAACGGAGGGGCTCTGCGGGGGGTCGTCCTGGTCACTCCGTGCAGCTCTCGCCACGAAGCCCGGGCCGGCCAGCCAGGAGCTCCAAGCCTCCAAGCCAGTCCCTGACAGCGCTGGCAAGTTGGCCGCGTACCCAGACCCCCAGCGCTGGGGTGGAGAAGAGCCAGGGCTTTGCCTGACGCCAGAGCCAGGCGCGTAACCCAGCCAAGCTTCTCCTGAAAAGCCCTGCTCAGAGCCAGGATCCTTCCTCCTAGCAGCCAGGTGGGAGCAAACAGGGCAGATATGCCCTCGAGATCCTGACACCTGCCATGTCTCACAAGACCGCAGCGTAATTACAAGTCTTCTCAGCACTGTGGTGTTGCTGTTCCTTACAGCAAGGAACAGGGAAATCTTCAGAATGACTGTGATGCTCTTTGCCCTCCGCTCTGACAAATATCCCCTCCCCTTGGATAAGCACCAGCTCGGCTGAGCCTGGGCTCAGCTCCCTACGCACCTGATGATGTCCGTGTACTCCCGATCCTTCCCTTTGCTTTCCTTCCACTTGCGGTACATCACCGAAGCATCCACGTTGGCCGGAGAAAACGTGTTGGGCTCATTCAGCAACGAGATCACGCTCAGAAGGATGGTCCTGGCAAACAAACACAGGCGGGTGAGCACCAGGGCTGGTCAGTACCTGCCCGTGCCGCAGCAAGGCTGCGGTGCCGCTGCAACCCGCGGCTCGTGGTGCAGCTTGGTGCTGGCCCGCCCGCGAGGACGTGTTTTGCAGGGCAGGTCCCCCCGCGCACGGCAGCCGCTCAGCTCGCTCGTGCTCCTGTGCAGCTTTAGCTGCTCTTCAACAGGGCGCACAGCCTGAGGGCCAGGCCTTTCAGGAACCTAAGGACTAAGAAAAAGGCACCTCTGGCCTTTTTCCACGGGAGGCCACGGGAGTTGGAGGCATCTCCACCTCATGTTTTCCAGCGCTGCCGCGGACGAGCCCATTGCGGCGCCGCAGCTCCGTGCCGGCCCCGTCCTTACCGCACGTTCTGCGTGGGGTTCCACCGCTCGGACGGCAGCTCCCCGCTCTGCGGATCGTCCACGGGCGGGTGCAGGATGGAGATGCAGACGTCGCCGGTCTGCAAGCACACGCGAAACGGGCTCCTTAGGGAGGTGGCGCGTCCCTAGTGCCAGCGCAGCACGGACGTGGCCCGGATATGGACTAGCAGCCACTCGCTCGACACAACCCAACCCCACAGAGACCAGCGAGCAGCTCTCCAGGGCCCTGCAAGTCACCCACTCGCTCCGTACAGTTCTTGGCTTAAGCTCGGTCCCCACAGTGGCCAGTGGGGCAGTCCCCAAGCCTGGGAGGTCTGAGCAGCTCAGGAAAGGCACAGGCCAGCAGAGAAGACAGGCTGGGTTGGCTGCACTTCTGATAAAGATAAATTTAATAGAGGTGTCCCTCCCCATCGCCCCAGAATCTCCCAGACCTACCTCGTAGATATTGGGGTGCCACATTTTGGTTAAGAACCTAAAAGCAGGAGGAGAATAGGGGTAATCGATGGGGAAGCGGAGACGAGCCTGCCAAGAAACCAGAGAGGAGATAATGTGAGCCGGGAAAGAAGGGAAGGAGGCCCCGGAGCTCCCGGCATCGCCAGGGCAGAGAAACCTCTGCCAAGCCCAGCTGTATCGCAGCACGGATGGAGCCCTTGTGCCTGCACAGGAGGGAGCTTTTCCTGTGCTGTTTGTGCGGCGAGAAGGGTGCAGCCACCCCCAAATATCCGTGTATTTACAGTCATCGAGGCACCTTTTCCTCTTTTGCAGCCTGGAGACAAGGAGGAAGCAGGACAAGGGCAGGAGCAGGGCACAGGCAGCCAGAGCCGCTGGCTTCTCTCAGAGCCAAAGCCTCAACCCCTGGCAGGGGGTTCCACAGCCCAGAGTGGCACCCTGGGCACCACTCGGGCACGCAGAGCTCAGCACCGCTCCTCGGCAAACAAACGCACTCCGGGCTACTCCCCGGATGTTTTTCTCGCCTAAGCCCTTCAGAAACAAATTCCAGCTCTGTTAGCAGTTTCCTTTCCTCCTCGTTTTGCAATTTAGCACCTCCACACGCCCGACACAGAGGGAGCCAGCGCGGAAGTTGATCTCGCAACACCCGGCCTCCTCGTCCGATCGTCCAAAACAAGCCGGCGGGTCTCTGCCCGGCCGTGCACCGGCACCGAAACACTGCAGTGACGCAAGAGCCTCGTGTTTATAGGAAGGTACGTGGGATTCGAGGGCTGAAACCAAGCCACACACCAGAACAAAACCAAACAGGGGGTAGTGCAAAGCCAGAAGCCTCTGAGGACAAAAGATTGTTCCCTCTTTTCGCTGTAAGGGATGAGACTACAGACAGCTCGTCAGAGGAAATGCTCTTTACCATTTGTCAGAGCTTAAATGGAGAAAAAAACGCAAGCAACTCTTCAGCTCTGTGATTAACAAACATTGATGAATCTCTAAAAATAGTTGGTCACCACTGAAAAACATGTCAAAACTGGCCACACTGCATAGTTTGGATGCTAAAAATAGATCCCATGCCCAAATAAACACTACGCAGCAACCCATGCCTCGAGCTCCAGCAAACACAACAGACCCGCAATGGGGTTTTCTTGTGCACGGACCACGACGGGGGAAAGACGAAGGCCGAGGAGGCCCGAGAGCCATTGCAGGGGCTGCTCTTCCAGCCCACCCGATGGCGCGGTCAGAGATGGCTTCCCCCCCAGTGCAGCGCTACCTGCGGTCGGTGTCGGGGCCTTCCGGTGTTCGCAGCCTCCGGAAGCCTCGTTCCAAGAGGTCGAGGGCCCCTCAAACACCCCTCAGGCTCCGCTGCTCCCCCGGGCCCCACACGGGCCGGGTGGCGACGGCCGAGGCCACCGCGCTCGCGGCTCCCGCAGCTCGGCCGGGCCCCCAGGA